CATAGTCGGAAACAACAGGGAGCAGGAGGCTACGGTAGAGGGGGCAAGACAGAGCTTGAGGAGGATGTGCGTGGTCGGCAGGGCTGAATGTGGCTCGGGGCTCAAGCAACAGGAATTAGCGTGTCCAGGACACGTGGCCACGGGGAAGCTATTGGCCAGAGGAGGTGGAGGGGTTGGGGGGAGCTGGGAGTTTCTGGGGAGGAGCAGAGACATGGGCAGGCAGTGGGTGTGGACTCAGAGGACGGACTGTGGGTGAAGGACAGGCAGGACTGCAGGTTTGGAAGTGCGGGAACGGGGCCTCCTGTCCAGTGGCATCTGTATTCTCGGTGACCTGCAAGGCCAAGCAACCAACTGAAGGGGCAGAGAGGTTTGTGAAGCTGAGAAACTGCCATCCAGGACATCTGGGGAGCAGCTTTAAAAATCAGTGCTGGTCAGGCAGCGGGAGGGTGTGGACCATCCATTCGCTCTCAGTGCTGGGAGGGAGATGTGGGTCTCCCGCGTCAGAGCTCTGGGGAGGGACGGAGGGTGAGTGACAGGTGGGACAAGGCAGTGACGGCAGGAGGTCAGCTTCCACTGGCGACTTAGATGGCAGAAAAACCAAGAGAAGACCTGATTCAAGCTGTGGTCAGAGGGTGGATTTGGGGAGGATGTGCGTTGTCTGCCCAAAGCTGGAACCTCCTAGAACTCACAGTTAGAGCAGGTGGACAGTCACGGATGAGGAGGGAGTGAGCGCAGACGTAGGGGAGAAGAGAAGGCAGTGCGCGGACGATAACCAGTCGCCGCGTGTGTTACACACTTCTGTGGCTACACCCAAGGCGAGGGGGCGTGGGCAGGGGGCGAGGGAGCAGTGTGCTCAGCGGATCCAAACCGAGAGCTTGAGTAAGTCCTCTGTGTTGACAGGGGTGAGTCGTGCCCTAGGCCAAGGATGCGGAGATATTGCTGCCATCTTCCCAGATGCTGCAAACGGGGAATACGGCTGGTGCAGGAGCGAGTGAGTGGGGCGTGGGCGGTGGCTTCCTTCAGGGTCACAGCCGGCTCTGACCTTCTGTATGAGGGATACTCAGTCCATCAGGGCCCACTGCCCAGGGGAGCCGTCTGCAGCAGAGGCCTGAGACTGTGTGCCTCACATGCAGAGACCACTGCAGAGCTGAGAATGACCTCACGTCCCTGAGACGTCACATCACATGGGGGAGCTGCCACCTGTGCAGTGCAAGGCCAAGTGCAGACAGCTTGCGCTCCAGGCAATATGGAGCTGTGGGTTCAAATCCCAGCTCTACAGCTCACTAGCTGTGTGACTTGGGGCAAGTTACTTAACCTCTCTGTACCTCCATTTCTTTGTGTCAGGTAGGGAGTAGTAACAGGACCTGCCTAATAGGGCTGTTGTGAGGATTCAATGAGTTAAGGAGTGTGAAGCAAGCACATAGTAAATGTCTGCCAATGGCCTTGGCGAAGCACAGAGAAGGCATCTGTCGTTTGTAAGGGTCTCATGGAATGGATGGTGTCTTAGAGCTGGTTAAGGGGAGAAGGAGGGGGATCCATTTGATGTTTGACTAGAGAACCTTAAACTGCCTCAGAATAATTCTCTAAGTCTTAAATAGAACAGTAAATAACATAATGTAAATATAAACCCAGCACATGAGGGTCCAAAAATGCCAGCTCCTGCCTTTTCAATCTGCGGTAACAATACGAAGATTGCTGCTATTCAAGTGTAACTAACTCTGCTGGTGCATGCCAGTGTGGCCTGAAAGGTCAGGTTGCTGCTGTTCCCACTGGTGAATAGCCACACCCTGAGGCCCTGGGGCCCACCTGCCACAGTCCAGCAGCTACAGGTAGTAGGACTCCGCTCAGGGCACTCTGATTGGCCCCACCTAGGCTGTACCTGGGTTTACATGTTTAGAAATTCACCTCTGCTGTACTATTGCTGCTGCTCCTAATAATACAACCTTCAGGGGCACCATACGTGGGACACTATAACCGATCCTGCTAGAAGTAAAGCAAGTGGGGCTCGGAAAAGAATCTTTTCACACCCAACCTGTCCCAGAGGTCAGATCAGAGCCCGGTCTGCTCGAAGCTGGCTCCTCACTCATGACCCTGCACCGGGTGGAAGGACACAGGCGGAGAGAAGGCGCAAAGTGCCCGCAGACAGCAAAGGTGGAGGTCTTCTCCCAAATCCGCCCCTGTGGGCAGAGGCCACCTCCCTGAACTGTCTGGAGTCGCAGCCTTGTGTACCGTCCACCCCAAGACGTGGTCCTGCTGAGCAAAGCCCTGAGGTCCAGCAAGTCACTGGCTGATGGCTCTGAGCAGGGAACGCCGCACACGCTCTGGTCCTGGGTCTCCCCGACCAATGCTGGGTGGTGACTTTATTCTTCATTTTCAGGGTTAATTCTCTGTTGACTTTGGCATGGAGCTAAAGCTAACCTATAGCAAGATACTGAAAAAGAATGTGGAAAATAGGGCAGCTAGGAAGATACACAGAGAGAGAGAGAGGGAGGAGGGAGCGAGAGAGAAAGGAGGAGGGAAGGAGGAGGGGAGGGGGAGGGAGAATGAGGGGCCTCTGGAATAATAACACAGCCATAATCACTCATAATCAATTTCGTTTTTATATAAACGTTTGTCAGGCACCACGCTAAGCACTCCAAGCACCTTTTCTCACTTAATCCTCACCAAGTTAATTTTCACATCCCTCAATTTTTAAATCCCTTGCTCCAGCAGCTCTGTGAGGCTCAGTAATTCCTGAAATCGTCCCCAAAGCTGATCCGAGTCTGCGAGCCTGACTTACCTGTTTCCTGGACCTCCCCCAGCCTGGTCCAGTCTAAAGAGCGGGCAGAAGATGCTTCACAAACGGGACGGCTCCCCTTACAATCAGACCCAAGCCTGTGAAATTGTGAAAGAAAGCCGCGTTAATGATCAAATGACACCCAACTGTTTTCTGCAAATATTCTGTGCTGCCAGTTTTGACCAGTGATAAATGATTAACATCGAGCTATTGATGTCCAGCTCAGCTTAGTAAAAACATGCCCAGTGGCAGGTCAGCAAGTTCTGGACTGTGAGCTGAAGGCAGGAGTGCCCTGGCGAGGCCACTGCTGACCGCCCCGGGCTTCCCGGGCGTCGGCTCCCTTCTCGACAACTGTGTAGGACTAACTGCCCCTGGCAGCTATGATGGCGGTCGGGTGAAATGACACACGATCGTTGTAAAGCAAAACACAAATGAATGCAGGCTGATCGAGTCTGAAGCCCAGAGGAGCAAGATGAGGGGGTAACTCTTGCTGCTTTGCTGACACAGGAGTGAAATCAGCAGTGGGGAAGTCCACGAGAGCTGTCCTTTGGGAAATGCTCCCCACGTGGTATCAGCCACTGCTGTTACTTTATGCATGCCATGTTGTCCTCCTGAGCTCTCTCCAGTCCCGAAGTGATGCTCATGTGCTGATCCTTCTGTTTTTCAGGACTCTGGGATACACAGAGGGCTGGAGTGGCAGAGGAATGTGAGGGAAAGAGGGGCGGGGCCGAGAGCATTGCTGGGTAGCTGACACGAGATCCCAGCTCAGTCAGCATCACCAAGAGCCTCCTTTTGAGCAGTTACAGAGGGAGGTGAGGGGTGGGAAGGGAGGCGTGGTTCTGGGGTGAAGGACAGAGAGATAGGTGCCCAGGAGTCCCACCCACCTTGGGAAAGGGACGCTGTGCCTGGCACGGGCACTACTCGGGCCCTGAGAGACGGCGCTGGAGCCTGCAAAAGCCCATCCAATTCCCTTGGCGTCGATTAAGAGTGAGCGGGCCACCTTCTCAGGGCTGATCCCGTTCCCCGTGCCCTAGCGCTGACAAAGGTGGCCCGAGAGTGGAAGGAAATCACTTGATTTCTGGAAGACATCTCTCCAGTGTCTTTATCAACTGACCTCCGATGTCAGCACAGCCCACCTGCTAGAAAGATGACATTTCTGTGCCTGGGGTGGCTTCAGCTGTGCTTTTGGACATAGACACACCAGGACAAAGTCTGTCTCTGAGCCACGGGATTGCTTTCCCAGGCTTTTCAAATCTTCCACAAGTATCTAGCTGGTGCCCACCGCCTCCTTTCCCCAGGCAGTCACCCAATCTCTGCCGTGATGTCTCTTTTGCTGCAATAAATCATTCCTGGGTGCCAGGACTATTCAACCATTGGTTTAGCAGCCTCCACATAGACTGTGTAAGATGGTGACTCAGAGCCCGGGATTTGATGTCAGATCTCAAATCCCAGCTGCCCCAGCACGTTTCATGGGACAAGCTGCCCCTCTGCCAAGTGGGGATAAGGGAGAACTCATCACAGGGTCACGTGCAGACCGAATGAGACGTATGGGTGCTTACCTAGGGCGGGAACTGCTGTGTCAAGTGGTAATTCTCTGTTTATTTGTTTGAGAAACACCAAACTATCTTCCACAGTGGCCAAGCCAGTTTATCTTCCCACCCGCCGCTCCTGGGTGTATACGTTTGCAGTTGCCTCCTGTGTAGCGGAGTCTGGTAAACATTCGCCGTTGCTGCTCTTGTTCGGAAATCTCTTTATCGATCATGATGTTTTTGTCTTGTTCCTTGACTTATTCCTTTATAGATGTTGACGGAGCACCTACTGCGTGGCCAGCACAGTGCTGGATACTGAGAAGGTGGCAAAGAAGGGTAAGCCTGTACTCCTATCGGGTATTTCAGCCTAATCAGAAGGATGAGCCACAGGAAGGGACTTACTTTAAGTAAGCAGCTACTGTGTGCCAGGCACTGGTTCTGTACAGCCCCATCAAACCCCAAGAGCAGCCACTGCGATCTCATTATTTCCACTCCACAGCTAGCATCCTGGGCGTTCAGAGGTCACCCTACTTGCCCAAAGCACCGCAGCTGATGCAGGAGAACTGAGGCTTAAAGCAAGAGCACCCCCTCTGTCCGCACTGACCCCCGTCCACTGTCCAGTCCATCTGAGTGAGCCTGGGGCTTGATGTCAGACACATTTCTCTTTGTTCTTTTTGTAGTCTGGCATCCAGACGACTTCTCACTTGGGAGGAGCTCCCATTTGTGGGTCTCATGGGAAAGTCTTTTTCAGCTTCTCCTGGATTCCCTTCCACCAAAGATCCCATTTCTCTGGAGCATCACCAATTTCTCCTTCTCTCTTAGGCCACCCCTGGCTACATAAAAAAAAGTCTTAATATTACAATTAAGAAAACAAAAACAAAACTAAGTGTTGGCAAGGATGTGGAGAAATTAGAGCTCTCCTACGCTGCTAGTGGGGATGTAAACTGGTTTGGCCACTGTGGGAAATCATTTGATAGCTTCTCAAAAAATAAATGTATGACACGGCAACTCCACTCCCAGGTATAGAACCAAGAGAATTGAAAACAGGTGTTCAAACAAAAAACTTATACACGAATGCTCATAGCACTGCTATTCATAATAGCCGAAAGGTGGAAACAGCCCAAATGTCCATCCGCTGATGAATGGATAAACAAAGTGGTCTCTCCGTACAATGGAATGCAACTTCTGATACGTGATGCAATGTGGAAGGATCTTAAAACCCTTATGCTAAGTGAGAAGAGGCTAGATCTGAATGATCACATGTTGAGTGATTCCATTTTAGTAAAATGTCCAAAAGAGGAAATTGGTGGAGGCAGAACGCAGAGCAGTGTTTGCCAGGGGCTGGGGGAGATGGTGATGGAGGGGGCTATTTTATGGGTGAGAAGGTTGCTTTGTGGGGGTGAAAATGGTTTTGGATTTAGACAGATGTGGTGGTTGTACAGAATTGTGACTGTATTAAATGCTGTCCAATTGCTCACTTTGAAATGGTTCTTTTTATGTTAAGTGCACTTCACCTCAATGGGAAAAATAAAAAAACAACTTCCTGTGACCACCTGGAGACGTCCACCTGGCGTCAGCCCATTTCCTGGCTCTTGCTACGGGAACCCGCTGTCTCACGTCTGGCCCTCCCCAGCTGGTGCCCACGGGGCTGACCCACCAGGCCGCTCAATCTGCTCTTTTGAGAACATCAATCATCCAAAGTCAACAGTCAAGTCCCTGTAATCCCCCTGCAGCTTTGGTGAAGCCGACCACTCCACTTCCTCTGGGTCCTTCTGGAAACTTCCTTTTCCCATCTCCTGGGCCACACACTGGCCTGGTTATCCCTCTGCCCCCCGACCACTCGTTCTGAGTCCCTTCTGCTGCTCCCTGTCACCTACCAACCTCCGGGGGTGGAGGGCCCCAGGACTCAGCCCGAGGCCCTGCTCCGCACTCCACCCACACTGTCTCCGGGGCTGTCCTCACCCAGACTCGTCTGTCATCTTGAAACCACCGGCATGCTGCCAGCTCCCAAATCCATCCCTCCAGCTTGGACCGTGTCCCAGAGATCCAGACTCCTACGTCCACACACCCGGTCAGTGCCCTCACTTGGCTCAGAAGCTTCTCAAGCAGAGCGGGTCCCCAGCGGAACTGAATTTGCCCAATATCGCTGCTGCCAACTAGCTGTGTGACTGAGCAGGCCACGGAGGTCCCGGGTGACCAAGAGGCCTTGTCTGCTCTCCAGCCTCTTTACTCGCTCTCTCCCGCATCCTCCATCCCCCCGACCCTGGCCTCTCCCTGCCTCCCAACACCCCCCAGCTTCCCCCATCTCAGGGCCTTTGCACTTGCTGTACGCTCTGCCCAGAAAACCTGTCCCAAAACCACTGCATGGCTGCTTCATTCTTGTCCTTCAAGTCTTACCTCAAACGTCTCCTCTGCAGTAGTGCTGCCCTCACCTCCCTGGCTGAACCAAACCCACCCTGACCCCACGTCTGTCTGTCTGTCTGTCTGTCTGTCTCTCCCTCCGTCCTCCTCTCTCCTTTCCTTCCTCCCTTGTCCCTGCCTTCCTTCCCCCATCTTCTCCTTCCCTCCCTCCATCTTCTCCTTCCCTCCCTCCCCTC